CAGTACACATGCTCACTCAGTGGGCATCTCCTACCCTCTCTGACTAGTCAGTAGTGTGAAGTCATCATTGTTCATTCATTCGCATTGCAGTCCAGTCTCCTTGGCTGCCAGGTTACATGCATGTCGAGCAAACTGTTCTCATTATATAAACAGTGGTAGGACTTTTTCCAGACAGACCTCATGTTATTGGTGAATGTGTTCTCCCATTGTGGGTTGTCTTTTCATTTTGTTGATGGTTTCCTATGCTGTGCAAAATCTTTTAGTTTGAAGTAGTCTCGTTTATTTACTCGTTTCCCTTGCCCAGGGAGATACATGATAAAAAATGTTACGAGCATTGTCTTGAGATTTTACTGCTGTGTCTTCTAAAGTTTTTATGGTTTCGAGACTTACATTTCAGCATTCAATCCATTTTTAGTTTATTCTTACGGTGTAAGAAGGTGGTCTAGTTTCATTTTGTCACACGTATCTGTCCACTTTTCTCAACACCATTTACTGAACAGACTGTCTTTACCCCATTGTATGTTCTCTCCTCTTTTGTCAAATATTATTTACACATAAAGGCATGGGTTTATTTTGGGGCTCTCTATTCTGTTCCTTTGATTTATGTCTGTTTTTGTGCTGGTACCATACCGTTTCGATTACTAGGACCTTGTAGTACAGTTTGCTATCAAGTAGTGTGGTACCTCCAACCTTGTTCTTTCTCCTGGTTGCTGAGAACTATTTGGAGTCTTCTGTGTTTCCATACAAATTTTTGGAATATATGTCCTAGTTCTGTGAAACACACCATGGGTATTTTGATAGGAATTGTGCTGAATTTATAGATTACTTTGGGTAGTATGGACATTTTAATATTGTTACTTCTTCCTATCAGAGTCTATACTTTTAATCTGTATTCTATGTTGCCTCCTTAAAAAAACAAATACACTCTAAGTTCAGTAAACATTTATGGATCACCAGTATGTAGCTTAAAGCCCAAGTCCTTGAGAAAAAAATCCATAACGCTCTATTTCTGTGGATAGAAGTGCCTTCCAGGCAGAGTTGCAGGTTTGAGGTGTTTCGTGTGCCCAAATTCATGTATCTAAATTTGTCTTTCCCTTAGCAATTGATTTGATAAACAACCTACTTCAGGTGAAGATGAGGAAACGTTACAGTGTGGACAAATCTCTTAGTCATCCCTGGCTACAGGTAAAAAAAGTCTGTCTCTTTGACAATCCTCATTTGAACAGATCACTGTGATTTCTTTTACCTAATGAAATCACCCTAAGATCAACCATTTCTGCACTTCTTAGAGCAATGTAATGATCTCTAGTGATTAGTTTGTACCGTGCCCAAGTCTCTGGAATTTTTGCACTATGCCATTCACGTGCAGACCTGATAGCCAGTTAAACTCCCAAGAACTAAAAGCAATGAATAAAAGCCTTTTATAGGGCTTTATGTGTTCATCTCACCTTTTTGTAAGATGAATATAACATGTTATTTTGTCAGATATATTTTACTTTTAAAATGTCCACTGAAAGGTTTACATTTGCATTGAAAGGTCGGAAATGCCACTTCAAATGTTTGGCTTAAATCCTCCAGAAGTTGTTGTGTAGACTGGTAAAAAGTTACCCCCTAACTTCAGTGTAAAGAGAGAAGCTTTAGAATTTTAAAGGGAGTAAGAGGTAGAATTGACTTCAAAAAATGCAACCATAGTTACTCTCAGGGATTATTAAATTACTCTGATAATAGATTCTAACTAAGCACTTTCCTTTATTATAAGGAATAAGTTGGAGGCCTCTTGAAATATAGAACGAAATGTTTAAGTGATTGTTATTAGCCACCTCAGAAGCCCTGAGACAATATTTTTTAAATTTTAGAAACTAGGTAATTTCCTCATAGAGATGCAATTTGAAAACATATTTATCTTTAACATTGCTAATTTAAAATATTACAAATGGAATTTATAGCAAGTACTTGTTAGTAGGGGTTTGCCAATTATGTGACTAGAGTGCTAAGCAAAAAATAAGGGTTGACAGGACTGTTTCTTTTATGGTTCATAATCACTTCATTCCTTTTCCAGGACTACCAGACTTGGCTTGACCTTCGAGAATTTGAAACTCGCATTGGAGAACGTTACATTACACATGAAAGTGATGATGCCCGCTGGGAAATACATGCGTACACACACAACCTTGAATACCCAAAGCACTTCATCATGGCTCCCAATCCAGACGATATGGAAGAAGATCCTTAATTATCAATGACCTAAGAACTTCAGTAAGGAAGCATTTCATTTTATGGGCTGGTATTTTGTTGCACAACTGTTGTTGGAGGTCATCATTTGCAAAAATGCAAAGGCATGAGGAAATACGATAAGGAATCGGTGACACCAATACTGTAGTTTTTAAGTAGGTACAAGAGCGGAAGGTAATAAAATCATGTAATGGAACCAAGATGAAGCTTTTCATAAATTTTATAGCATAAGAAATAACTGGTTTTTGTATTTTTTCCTAATCCTTCACTTTAGTGCAACAGTGGCACTTTTATCTTCCCTTTCCTGTTCTTGTATTGTTTTCCAAAAAGTACAAAAAGGCAAACTAGAATCCAGTTATTACATAGCTTGACCAAATCATACAAAAGTTACATGGTTGATGACTAAACAGATTTGCATTTAAGTGTTATCAGAGGCTGCCAGCATGCAATTTCCTGTAAGGATTTGAAACATTTGTTTAACTAACCATCCAGGGGTTGAGGGTTTTTTACCAGACCTACAAAAGTAGTGCTGGACTTTTTTTTTTCTTTTTTAGATCACTCAGTCTCAACAGTGAGCCCTAACCTTTTTAGAGTTGAAACTCTGCATACCCTCTCTACAACATAAAAATTTAGTTGTCACCTCCTTGTGTATGTTACAAAATAGCCTCCAGGATAATTTGGGACAACTGACGTTACAAACCAGGAATTGGAACTGCTGGTCTGTGTTGAATTACTATGTACAATGCAGAGTCTGGCACACATAATGCTCCCGTTTCATTTCATTAGAATTTTCTACTACAAAATCATAAGTATGTAATTGTGTGACATATCACACTCAAGCACACCATGTGACATTTTAGGTGAAATATTCAAATTGCTGTCCATCTTGTACAAGATATTCATGTGCCCTAGCAACCACCCTGAACGGTATTACTTCTGCCAGACCCTGTATATCTTCTCATAGCTCAACTTAGGTTCCCACGGACACCGTTGTGTTGCCACAGCTAGGTTCCAGCATTCAATGGGTACAGACCTAAACAGACTTACCCAATTTATATTTACACAGGGTTGACTCATTGAGGGAGGAAATTAATAAGGCCAGTGCAGGGTCAGTTAAAACTGTAGGAAAGAATAGCAAGCAGTGTCCTTTTTTTCCATTCCTCAGATTAATGAAAGGCTTTTAGAGATAGCTGGAATGTTTTTATTTTTTATAAGTATATTTTATTGATTATGCTTATTACAGTTGTCCCTTTTTTTTCTCCCCTTATCTCCCTCCACCATGAACCCCCCCCACCTCCTGCCATAGAATGTCTTTAAAATCAGTTATTTTAAGCACTTTGAGTTGAGCATGAAACACTTATAAGGGTAGGGCTATATTCTCAGGAGAGCAAATGAACGACTAAATAAATACTCTCTAACATTTCAGCTCCAGTAGCCAGGTAAAGAAATTTTTTTCTGCTCAGATATAATATGTAACTTAAGAGGTTAGACTTTTTCATACTTTTTAAAAAGTTACTAATAGTTTCCTCCCCCCAAAGAAGTTTAATATCTGGGACTTACAAAATCTAACAGCTTTTTGTTTAACTTTTTCCCCTCAAAAAGAGCAAAAAGATTTGGAATCAGAAGATCTGGGTTTAAGTCTTATAAGTCTTGGCTCCTTTTGCAGCTTCGGAGGCCTGGCCAGGTGACAGTTTGAGCCTCGAGTTCCTCAGTCTGTAAAGTGAAGATTGTAATACTTGCCTCTACCTTAGTGTTTTGAAGGTTAGATATATATGAACATAGTCAATAAACTAAAAACTGTAAATTTAACTATTACTGCCCACTGAATTAGAAGCAGCAAAGAAAAAGATTGGTCGTATATGAACAAAGACTCATGAGATCTCTGGAGCTACTCCCTTACCCAGGACTGAAAACATACCAGAGAGAGTAGCAGGAAACACGCAGTGTTATGTTCTGAGCTCTTTAGTTGTTACCTTATCCTCACAGCTGCCACGGGCTATGTGGCACAATGAACCCCGTCTGACAGATAGTAAACTACCTGCTGAAGGTCACACAGTATTTGAACCCAAACAGTGTGGTTCTGGAGTCCCTCTGTCTCCAGGAGACATTCACGTCTTTCAGTATTTCATTCTCATATATGAATTTGAACTCTATAGTTACTTCTGCAAAACCTTTTAGAAACGTGTTTTCGTTAGGATAGAAGACGGTGTCCCCAAATTTCTGCTAAGTCTGTTTGTATGAACGTGCTAAAATGGAGTAATTCTGAGTCACTAGGCACTCTGTTGTGGTTTTACTGCATAAGGTAAAAATTAACTGGAATGGTGTTTGTTGGCTATACTTATACGAGTTATAATCAAACTTTACAAGCCATGAAGTTAATTGCACTCTTTCTGTTTTTGTTGTTAAATGCCTAAGAAGTTTCCTGAATTTGTAAAGGCACTGTTAGATAATTTGGAGTTAACTGATTACTCCAGATACTGTATAACCTGTATAACCTTTTTTTGGGTGTTGAAGCCGTGTTTATATAAGAAATAATTGTGAGAAACATTTGATAATGTACAAAGTAGTCTATAATGACACTGTCAGTACATTTTTATATTTTTTGTTACATCCCACTTTTTGTAAATATCCTCGAAGAAGCTTAATAATAAAATATATTTCCATATCACCATGCTTTTCCATGTGAAAACCTGAGCCTACCTTCCTAGTCAAGGTATCCAAAGAAAATTTTATTTGGTTGTATTATATTCTCAGGCCTTGGTAAGAGAACTATTTTGGAAATAGTATTTGTAAATGGAACTAATGCTATATTTAAGAACACTGATTTTTTTAACTGCCTAAAATAAAAAACTACTCATTTTTATAATCTTATATGCAATTTGAGGTAATTATCTGGAGGTCTTATTTCTTGGAATGAAAGTCTGGAATAATTATAAATTTTCAGGAGCTTCCATCAAATAATCCACTTCTGCAACTGCCAGAAACTTAAGTAAGTTAAACACCTAATACCAAAGTAAATTTCCTAGGTTTTAAGATACAAGGCATTGCCTGACTCTTTCCCCTTAGTTATAAAAACTATTAAATAACCGAGAAGAGCAAACCATGGGCATTTTCATCTTACAAAAATTGTCCCAAGACTTTGGGGAAAAAAATATGGAAGCAGAATAAGGATGACTAGGGATGGCCCAAGGCTGGACGGCATCTGGAAGATAAGGCTTCGGTCACCCTTTACTTTAGAGTGAGATAGAGAACACTAGTCTGTTCTCAGGCCAAAGAACCAATAAAAAGCAGCAGTTCATCACTCTGCCAATGACCTTCCATATAGTTACGCCAGAAGTTCAGGACACATAGCTAATACTCTTTTCCTTTAATCTCACATGGAAATTTGTGTTGTTCATACAGCAGTTCTTCACAAAGCCGACGTGTCTGGTATTAACATAAAAGTTCTATGAACCAAGACATGAGAACTTCATAGACTAAAATTTGACATTTATCTGAAAATAAGGGAGAAGCAGTTCAATTTAGAAAATTATTCATCCTAGGTAGTCTACATGTAACTCATATTTTAAGTACATGTCAGCATTACTGGTTTTACTGTGATTATTAAACATTTTAAATTCTAAATTCACAGAAGCACATGGTGTAAAAAATTCAAATACCTCGAAGGAGAACAAATAAATTCAGTGTCTTCCTACCCCTAAAACTCACTTCCAGATTGGGAAATTTAATAATGATTATTGGGGATCCCTTCTTTTATACATGCAACTAAATATCACAGAACAGAAAACAACCAGTCTTCACTAAAATACACATTTCTATGGAGTTACCTACAAGCATTTAAGTATAGCTTTTTTTCAATAAAAATGGAATCATTACTCTAAAACATTTTGCACCTACTCTTTTCACTTAATAAATCTTAAGAGATCTTTCCGTGTTAGAACATACTACATCATTTTTTAAAATAATACATGGACAGTTCTATTTAATCAGTCCCCTGTAAGTGACCATTTAGATTGTTTCCAGTTTTTATTGAGCCAATTAGTGTTCATGTCTACTTTTTAAAATAAAAAGACAGCAACTAGCTTTTCTTAATAAAGGAAATTCAGTTTCTAAGAACACACAATTATTCCCACAGTTAAACAACTTTAAAAAAATCAATGTTCAGTTGTACTGTATATAAAATGGACCATTTTTATTGACTGAAGAGATAAAATACTTATTTTACCTGTGATACATGAAATTAATTCCCGTTATTTTGGTTTCTTAGACTTGGGGACAAAAAGTCCAAACTTGAACTATCACCGCCAAGCAAGTTCACTAAATCCAGCTACAGGTGATGGAGAGGGTTTTGACTGACGTGCATTTATCTGTTGGCTTCTACCACAAAGTCTCTGATGAGGCAGCAAGGCGAAAAAGTTAAATCTTTCTCCCATCTTCTTGGGATTCGTTAACATATCATACCCCTGAAGTAATTGCTGCCTCAAAGATGGCTCAGTTGATTTATCTAAAAGAACCTGAAAAGAAAAAAAAATTCTTAGTAAAAACAGAAGAAAAGATTTCCAGTTAGATGCAGCAATACTAATCAGCTGTTCAATAAAGCAGTGCTTTTTGAACTGTGGTTTCTAACCAACTGCCTGGAAATCATGGGTCCCTATAAAAACATAGGTTGCTATGACACAACCTTGTGAACTTGTATGCTTAACCAGTATTCCCAGAAGGTCTGAACACACTGAAGGGTTCAGATGTCCTCGGGGCAGTTCTAAAATTCATACCTCTAACTGCAGTCAAGTTTTCTTAATGGACATGAACACTATTTGAACATCTTAACTCTACATCTTACGGAGATGCAAGAGTCTGCAGGCCATCTGGTGAAACTAAGTCCTGTACTACTGAAAAGGCTGGATGGAACGCCAGGGATCTGATTAACTGCAAGAACATTAAGGCCAGGTAAACTTATTTAAAATATTTGCTGGAAATACTGTGAAATTAAAATATTTAATGAAGCCCTGGTTGGTGTAGCTCAGTGGATTGCGGGCAGGCCCGCAAACCAAAGGATCGAGGTTCGATTCCCAGTCATGGCACATGCCTGGGTTGTGGGCTGTTCCCAGCAGGGACACATGAGAAGCGACCATACATTGATGTTTCTCTCCCTCTCTCCTTCTCTTACCCTCTGAAGATAAATGAATAAAATCTTTTAAAAAATATTTAATGATAGAGAAATAAATCGTACCTTTAGCCGGACATCAATGCCCATATTTTTTAAAAACATTTGTTGTGTTACTGGGCCCAGAGAAGCCACTCTTCCCTGTACCATTCTGCGCAAATAACTGAAGTCCACATCAGCTGTTAGGTCTGCTGTTCCTGGGGCAATTAAGACATCATGAAGCTGGTGGCCACAAAACCCCTTGAACATAATTTTTAAATAAAGTGATGAGTTTTTATCCTTTCATGCTATTATCAAAATTAAAGAAATGCCATCATTTTAACACATTTTATATAAGAACTGTTAGGGAATATATGGCCTAAGGCACAGGTGGCAAACACAAGGCCCAAGGACCGAATCCCACCCTCCACCTTGTTTTATCCACCCGGCACCTTGTTTCTACCCGGCAGCAGTGCCAAGCTCCTTGCCCCTAGATAGGGAGTAGTTACATTTATACAATCCTAAAATTACATTCAGCCTTTTGAAGGAAGCCTCGAGGATGATGTGGCCCCCGGTGCAAATGAGTTTGACACTGCTGGCCAAAGTCAATGGTACAAACTCTTACTGTAGTAGCACCCGTTTCCTCCAATGAGATGCTGTGTGGAAAACCCAATATAAAGGACAGTGTTGGAGCACCTGAAGATGTTGCTGCCCTTAACACATTTAACATTTTTATTAATGCCTATGGATAGAGGAGACCTCATTAATTCTCAGATGGTGTTTTACAAAGTCTTAACCATCAACCCATCAGAACCACCTAAGAATACAAGGTCTGTCCAGAAAAAGTCCAACCACTGTTGATATAATGAGAACTGCTTGACATGGATGTAACCTGGCAGTGTGCTCAACAAGGGAACTGAACTGCAATGCACACGAGTGAACAATGATGACTTCACTGTACTAGTCAGTGAGGGTAGGAGATTCCCACTGAGTGAGCATGTGTACTGTGTGGCCATTGCATTCAAAATGACAAGTGAATAGAGCAATGAGTCTGCATCAAATTTTGTGTTAAGCTTGAACACTCCCCCACAGAAATTTGGATGATTCAGGAGGCTGCAGCTGTGGGCAACTGGTGATCAGCAGCTTCATCATAACGACGTGCCTGCTCATGCATCATGTCTTGTATAGAGGTTTTTGGTGAAACATCTAATCACCTAGGTGGCTCAGGCCCCCTATAGCCCAGACTTGGCACCCTGTGACTTCTGGCTTTTCGCAAAACTAAAATCACCTTTGAAAGGGAAGAGATTTCAGACTGTTAATGAGATTCAGGAAAATACAATGGGGCAGCTGATGGCGATTGGGAGAACTGTGTGAGGTCCGAAGATGCCTACTTAGAAGGGGACTGAGGCATCATTGTCCTGTATATAGTGTTTCTTGTATCTTCTTCTAAAAATGTGTCTCTTTTTCATAATACATGGCTGGATGCTTTCTGGACAGACCCTCTATGTTCCTGGACTCTACCCAGACCTACTGAATCAGAATCGTGAAGGTGAGGCTAGGAAATCGGCATTTTAAACACATACCCAGGTTTTTCTTAGGTATGATAAAGTTAAAAACTGAGAACCACAAATGTAGAAAATGACTAATGGCATCTAGTTAAATGTATTTCAGTTAAAGTTTATTCAACAGAATTGATCACATTCAAAGAACTTAAGGATGGATGTTTAGGAAGAATAAAAAAACACATCTGGAGAAGAAAAAAAGATGTTGAAAATTTGGTAGAAAAAGTCTGATTATAGCAGCTACGTCAAAATTCCAAAGATGTACCAAAAAAATTTTTTTAAATGAAGAGAGGGTAGAAAACTTTAGGAAAGTCTTTCCATTTGTATGATTTACATGTTCATTAGGATCTATGCAGACCCAGGTTCTGCAACTTAAGGAATAATGTAGACAATTCAGACCCTGTTCAAAGGCAAGTTGGACAGTGGATTTAGGCTTAGGAATAAGATCTAGAATTAAGAGTAATTATAAATTAATATTAATTATAAAATAATGTAATACAACAGTGCTATATACACTGCAGAAAGCAAAAATAAAGACCTTGAATGGACCTCAACCCTAATAACTGATACCTAAATGAATCATACCTGCCAACTTTGGAGAAGTCACACTATGGAGTTATACGTACTCTGAAGGTGTCTGTCTTAGTCCCATCGTGACCGTAGTCAGCAATCAGCGCAGCCCCTCCCATCAGTGCAATGCGCTGAGATAGCTCCTGAATAATAACACCAGCGTCGGGACACACTTCCACGTGATCCCTTGCTTCATCACGCTAGTAAGGAAAAGTTGAAAGAAAATGCATCACTCAACTATTTCCTTGGGGTTTTCCGGGTTTTTCTGGTTTTTCTACAGGGAGCATTACTTAGCTACAATAAAAATAAATTTGTTCTCAATAGGAATCACGTTCTCTACACTCAACTTTTCACACAACATCCTCTTTATTATATAAAACTCCTTGGTTTTTGTTGCCATGCACTAAGCTTACAAAGATATTTCAACATGAATCCTTTTTTTAAAAATGCATGTGACCTCCCAACCCTTCAGGTGGCCAAGTACATTGTCACTCCAGTGCCTGCCACATAATAGGTACTCAAAACATTGTGCTCGATGAACAGATGATGTAAAGCCGATTTTCAAAAACAGACCATATTAAATAAGTATATCATGATGCCTTCCGTTGGAGCTAAAGGCATCCTAATGATATGCTTCGTATCTAGAAACATCAGCTTATGAATTAATACCAATGTGCCTGAGACCTTTATTTCCCAAGGTGTTCGAGTATTAACTAAGTATCCTCCATAAGTGCCTATCCACTTAAAAGTGAAACAGCAGTGTGAATATGTGCCAACTTGACTAGTATATATGAAATTTCACTAGCTCCTAGGATAATGGAAAATTTCTTTTTCTTTGTAAGTAAAATGTACACTGACTCTTGCCCTCTCCTAACACCCCACTGAAAATGAAGTATTGTCCTGCCCTGATGTCTCTGCCTATAATGGGACACAGTTCCAACAGGCACAAAGTCAGACAAAGTCAGCTTCTGGTCTCAGCTCTTCCCATTGCTTAGCCTGAGACAGGTTACTTAACCTCCTGGAGTCCCCTCCCGCATCACATGTGTACTAGGTTTGTGAGGATTAAATGAAAGAATAAACCACTCAGCCCCGGTGCTACCTGTTTTCTTTAGGTTTTTCTTTTTGTTTTGTTTTGCCCCGGTGCTATTAAATAAATTACTGTGTTTCACCCTGCCCCAGTGGCTCAGTTGGTTGGAGCACTGACTAAAAATGTTGTGGTTTCGGTCCCAGGCCAGGGCACACACCTAGGTCGCAGGTTCAATCCTCAGTCAGGGTGTATATGAAGGCAACCGGTCAGTGTTCCTCTCTCACATCAATGTGTCCCTTCCTGCCTTCCTCTCTCTCTAAAATCAGTAATAAAATATCCTCAGGTGCAGATAAATTAAGTCAATGTGGCTTAATTACAAACCTCTGGGCATAACTGACACATCCCAGTGCACCTTGCTGGCACTCTTACTATCTTAGCCTATCTTCAAGATGATGGAGTCTATTACCATTTGCCCTGTTCGCACGAGGAGAAAGCATTACTCCCTCTCTCATAAATGAGTACTACTCGGGTTAAGAACTAAACAGAATCACAAGACCCAGGACCTGGGGCTTAGCTCTTGGTAGCTTTATGAATTTGTTTCTCATTCAGGTAAAATTAAGTAGCCAGAATATGAAAAAAATAGAAATGTCCACAAGTGCCTAGGCTTATGTTCTGCAAAGACAACTTAATTCATAGATTCATGTTTCAAAGATCCTGTGCTTTTGAAACTGGTAACTTCTGGCCCTGGCTGGTGTGTCTCAGTGGCCTGAGTGCCAGCCTTCAAACTTAAAGATCGCTGGTTCGATTCCCAGTCAGGGCACACACATGCCTGTGTTGCGGGCCTGGTTCCCAGTTGGGGACATGCAAGAGGCAAACCAGCCGATGTTTCTCTCGCACATGGATGTTGCTCCCTTTCTCCCTTCCTTCCCTTCTCTCTAAAAATAAGTAAAAATAAAACCTTTAAAACTGATAACTTCTGGATTACAAGTTCTTAGTTATGCTCTAAAAAGTAGAAACTTTCTTTTCTGAACTGGAAAAGAAAGGAACGAAACACAGTCTAGAGCCCAAACACTCCTGAGAAGGACAGGATTTTTTTTAACCTTTATGCATAACCTCATGATGAGCTCTTTGTGATTTATTCCTTGGAGCCAAGAGTAGTCAAATACTATTCTGGCAATCTAGAATCAAATTTGGATCTGGGTGGAAACAGAGAAAGAACGTACACTCTATCCAGTAATGAAGTTGTTTTGAGAATGAAGTGAGGAAATACAGAGTAATACACACAAAGGACTCAAGAAACACTTCTTGTTGTCACTTTACCATACACTGTACCACACTGTTTTCACAGACATCAAACCCTTCCTGTAAAGAGACAATTCTGACAGGCAAACGGAGAAGGGACTTGCTGAGTGAGCATGTCCCACTTATCTCTCACTACAGATAAAGTCACACGGCTAAGAAATGACTCTTCTGACTCTAGACCCTCTGCACTTTTCCTTATTAATAAAAACCATCTCACATGTTGTGAGCGACTCCGTCCCCCTGTGTAAAGAAGCTCTAAAATAGGGACTCAGAAAGTAAGACTTGGCTGGCAAACAGAAGAAGACACGTATTCTTACCTGGATGAAGGCCTCTGCGGGGGTGGCACAAGGCGCCAAAACAAACCTCAGTTTATCAGAACCTTGTGGGTCGATATCAATCAACACTTCTCGCCATCCTTGTGGGGTTTTCTAAACATAAAATAACACACAAAAACCAATTTTTGCAAGTTCTCAAAACTGTCTTGAGCAAAAAATACTATTAGTGTTCTCCTCTTACCATATATGACAGGTAAATAACAGAGCACTTTACCACCTGAAATTATTTCGAGGCTTCACTTCTCCTAAACCATACGAATAGGCTGTTAGATACAAACGGATAATGTAGCTGAGATAAGAGGTAGAGCCCGGGAAGATAAAATGAGCAGCACGCCTCCAACCCGGAAACAGACTTGGGAAGACTAATCAGAAGCTGTTGCTAATAAATTATTACATAGTAATGCATACTCTTAGCCTTAGAAGTTATCAGTACACATACATTACCACCAAATCTTAAATCTCATAGAAGGAATAAAGACAAATTTTAATCTTGGGAGTTTAAAAATATTTGCTAAAGAAAGATCTTTATTGTACTAAAGCCATTTACCACCTTACATTCTCATGCATCTTTATCTTAGGAGAATGAAGAATTCTTAATACTTATCCTATGAGAATTAAGAATTCCACTTAATATTTCATTATTGCTTTTCAATTATTTATATTCACGAGGCATTCCAAATGCAGTTAACTTCAACCAGTAGTGTTTATATACTAATTAAATAGCAAAAATATTCATTCTTACAACACAAGCCCCCTTGTTGGTCAATTATAAACATGACTTTTTTTCCATCATACCTGAAACTTATGGATAGGAAGAACATCAAAAAATTCATGTGCGAGATAAAAGCTGTATCCTATTTAAAAGTGGAAGAGAAAATTAATGGTTAAGCATTTTTAAGATAATGAATTGGTTCTTTTGAACATTAACCAAAAAAATGCCTGGTTCTTTGTACTGGAACCCGTGATGCTTCCAGAATCATCTCCAGCACAGAACTACCAGGCTCTTCACAGCAGAGCTACTCTGTGGAAAATATGGAGGGTCAATTACTACTATTCTCGCTTTCCACACCCCAGGATCACAGAGCCAAATATCTCGACTATCATTTTAATTTCTTATTCATTACTAGGCCTGAAAGAAATCAGAACTCAAACTTGGTAGCTGAAAGAAGACTTGAATTTCCCAAAATCACCCAAGGCCAGGAATGGCCCAGGTGTCTTGCCCAGATCAGACCATTTAAGGTTTGAGCCGGAGTGGGTCATGGAAGGTTCCTGAAGGGCACAGGCACCGACCTTCAAGATGAGATAATGCAGCGAGACCCACCTACCACCGCTTCCTCCAGCCCCTGCTGCCGGGGGCTGCTTTGGCAGCAGTACTGTCTTAGGGGTAGGGCAAAACTACATGAAATTCACTGTTCCTTAATGGTAGGCAATTTTATTTTCTAATAGAATGTTTTTTTCCTAATTATTTTTATTTTTAGAGGGAGACAAGGAAAGGAACAGAGATCAGTGGCCGCTCACACATCCCCAACTAGGGGCCTGGCCCACAATCCAGGCTTGTGCCCCAAACTGGCAACCGGTAGGTTTTTGGGATAACGCCCAACCCACTGAGCCACACCAGTATGGGCTACAGTGGATTTTTTATAGAATGAAGTTCACTATTTTTGTAAGGGACCTGGCTGTACTAACTCAATCTATTTCAGATATTTCTCAGCTTTTGTTGGGGTTACCTCCTCATAAACCTCATTAAGTCAAAAATGCACTTGGTACCCTTAACCTACCAAACATCACGGCTCAGCCCAGCCTTCTTTAACCATGCTGAGCACACTTACATTAGCATCCAACTGGGCAACATCATTTCACTACTGCTGCCCTGCATGAGAGAGTATTGTACTGCCTGTCAGCAGCCCCAGAAAAGATCAAAGTTCAAAACTTGAGGTGCAGTTTCTAATGAATGCGTATCACCTTTGCACCATCGTAAAATTGAAAAATTATAAATCGAACCATTGTTAAATTGGGAGAGTCCGTATATTGCTCTACAAGGCTGTGATTACCTATCACTACTGTGAGGGGCTATAATCAAAATTCTCTTATTCATCAATGTAAAATCATTACCTTTTGGAACATCCTGCAGATCCCGGTACCAGGAAATTGGAATCCCAGACTTAGTAACACCTTTCATATATACTGGGGCTCCAGCACTTCGCTCTAAGGGAACCTTCTCTTCAGTCAGAGTTAACGCTTGAATCTCACTTAATTTTTGGCTCACCTCTACTAGATGCATCGAAATCTCACAGTTTTTCAGCACAGATCCAAGCTGGCTAAACACCTACATACAGAAAGAAGAAAAAATGGCAAAAATACGTGTTGAGCAGATTTTACATTTTCTAACCACTGGCCTCAATAATTTGCTCGTCACAGCACAAGTTATACTTGCTTCCAGAGAAATTTGTTTCTCACACAAACCACTCTCCAAAAGCCTATGAGAATCATAACTTTCTGGAGTTATTAAACATAGTCTATATAAAAAAGGGCAGGACACAATCTGCTTTCCTAATGATAAAATTTAGAGTTGCGATTAACGAGTGAAAATAAGATTTCCCCATCCTCACCAGCACTTGCTGTTGTCAGACTGTCTAATTTCGAGGGCGTTGTAGTATCTCGCAGATTCTACCTTTCGTTTCCCTGACGCCCAATGAGTCCGAGCAATTTGTTTTTACTGGCCATCTGGATTTTCAGTTTCATGACAGGCTTGTTCACATATTTGGCCTCGTTTTTCTCGTGAGTTCTTTGTCAGCTTACTGACTTAAAGGACTACTAGTTCTTTGCTGGTTACATGTATTGCAAATAACTTCTCTAACTTGTGGTTTGTCTCACCACTCGCCATGGTGTCTTTGAAGAACAAAGAGTTCCTAGTTTCTTTAAAGAACACAAAGTTCTTAATTTTAATATAGTAGACATTACTACTATATTCTCTTTTATGGCTTCTGTTTTATGTATAATTTAAAAACACTTTCCCTACTCAGAAGACAAATATCTCCTGTAATGTCTTCTAAATGTTTTATAGTTTTAGCTTTTATATTCTCTTCCACTGCTGTATTTTAATTGTACAAACAACAACTAATCAATCACTATAGTACTCTGACATTGTCTTTTAGCTGAGAAATACAAGAATAAAGTGGTGGGACCGAAGGTGAAGCAAATCAACAATCTGCAAACTCAGATACACATACGCGAGACTTGAAGACACTCATTTATTACCTACCCTCAGAATATCCTCTGCCAGGGTACCCCGCCCTGGGCCCAGTTCTACCAGCTGGAAAGCTGCGCTTTTTCCATTGGCCATCCACTCACTAACAAACCATATCCCTAGCAGCTGTGACAAGGAAGAAAACACATTGAAGTATTGTAAAGTATAAAAGCATACCACAATATAAAACTCCATGAAAATGCATACTTTATGTCAGAAAGCAAAATGTTTACAAACAGCCATATAAATTTAACAAAGGAAACTTCATTGGGACTGTGTTACAACACATGCTAGTTAGAAAGCTTAAATAACTACAGCACATAGTTGAAAGGCACCCTCCACTACAAAAGGTCCCATGACACAGACAACATCACTTACAGAAAGGTACTAGTATTTGAAAGCAAACAGACATATGAAATATAATTTTATAACTAGGCCATTTCTTCACATTCATATGATTTCAATAATTACATGGCTTGCCCTGACTGCTATAGTTCAGAGGCTTGGGTGTCAACTTGCAAACTGAAAGGCCGCCAGTTTGATTCCCAGTCAGGTCACATGCCTGGGCTGCAGGCAAGGTCCCCAGTTGGGGGGCATGTGAGAGGCAACCAGTTGACGTTCCTCTCACACACAGATGTTTCTCTCCCTCTCTTTCTCCCTCCCTTCCCCTCGCTCTAAAAATAAGCCGAATCTTTCAAGAAAATAATTATATGGCTCTTAGACACAAGCAATGTATTTTTAATACCTGGATTCTCCTTCCTCTTATGTACTGTTTCATATTTCTAAACTGATCAAAGGTTACTATATGAAAATAAAGTAGAATTTTTTAAAAAGAATCTGAAGTTTCTTACAGAGAGATGTCTACTGTAACTATGGCTAAATCATGTTTGGGGAGGGGGCTTTAGAGCTCACTCTGAGCCCCGCAATTCCTTCTGGGGTACACTCTACCCCTTTCCTCGCCTTTGCCTTTGCCTCCCGTCCTTCTCCCATTCTCCTATGTCATCTGGTTCGCTTCTCTTCTTCCCTCTTTCCCTCCATCTCTTTCCTTGTGTCTCTCTTACCTCTACATACCCTTTTCTACAGCAAAGTATACACTCTTCAAATGCCCATTTTACCACTTTCTTTCCTCTGTTCCCTTTCTATTACCTCAATATATAAATTACTAAATAATTAAAACTTTTGATGAATCACAAAAACAAAGCTGTAAAATACTATTACAGAATAGGACACCTTAATCTGCTTTCAAATGTTTGTGATACTAGTTTCTTTTACAGTTTAGATTGATATTACCTCCCCAAAGATCTGACTTATTTCAGGTGAAGTAATAAAATCTCCTTTTTCTCCTAGCATGTCACGGTGCACATAATATCCCTGAGTAAAAAGAGAAAGTGGAAAAAACAAATTAATTTGCAAATAAGGCTTCTTAAACACCCCTCCAGAATCTTACAAAATGTGTACAACAAAATAATTAATTTTGTAGTAAGAAAGTTCTCTCTTCTAAATAAGCAAGGTAAATTTTACAAAGTGACAGTCATTTTGCAGAACTGGTGGAAAACCAGTGCCTTCTTGACGAGAAAGCCAGATGCCATGCAGTGTCCATCTCTGCCTCCCCCCTCCTTCCCTTTCCCTGCTTCCATCACGTTCCCACCCCAAATTCTCATACTTTTTGTTTCAAATTAGCCATGCCTGCTGGCCATGGTGTTTTTGACCTGGGTGTGGGTTCCATGGAGTATTTATTCACTTTGTGAAAATTCATCAAGCCATATACTTGTGATTTACGCATGCTCCATATGAATGTCATAGCTCAACAGTGCCTGGGTTTTATTTTTTAATCGGCCCTCGTTGCCCACACATCCATGCCACTGAAACGCCTTCCGCTCTCCTTTTCCATTACTTCCTGGCAATCTTATATGCATCCATCAAACCTGCTGAAATGCCATCTTCTCTGATCTCTTCTTCCCCCAGCCTTCCAACCTCAGACTAAATCCAGTGCTCCCTTTTCTGAGCTTATTTATTTATATGTCCATTCTTCACTAGAAGGCACAGTTAGTTGCGGGAGAGGACTATATTTACTTTCATATCCCAAGTTTTATCATAATGCCTGACCTTCAAGAAACACTCAGGAATTGTTTAAAAATTCCCTATGGTCCTCATGCCCCTTCTTCTACCACCTTACTCATGGCAGATGACCTGTGTTCCTGCCCACACAGGATTTAAATACAACTTCTCAACTTCCTGACCCCACCTGGCCTCCACCTGCTTGGGACTCAAATATGAAATGCCTGCCCCTTCGGTTCTTATCCAAACCCGAGCCCTCCTGTGCTCTGGATCGGTCACAGTTCCTCACCCAGCTCTCATGAGCCAGTCAGTACCTTTCTCATCACCTGATTTCCTTTCTCTCACAGCTTCAACTTTTCCCTCTCAGCATTAGAAACATATTTAAATTTAAAAATTATGTTTTCCCTGCCTGATGGCTCAATTGGTTGAAGTGTCATCCCATACACCGAAAGGTTATAGGTTCGATTCCTGGTCAGGGCACATACCTAGGTTGCCGGTTTGATGCCCAGATGGTGCCTGGGTATAGGAGGCAACCCATGTCTGTCTGTCTGTCTCTCTCTCCTCTCCTTTCTCTCTTTCTACAATCAATAAACATATCCTCAGGTAAGGGTCGTGCAGCATCTACCCACTAGCCTTTCTCGTTGCCTTCATAAGCAAGCACTTCAGGAGCATTTTTTAAGTGTTATGAGTCCCTTTGGTAGTATTGTAAAGCCTGTGGACTCCTTTAGAGAATGTGTTCAAATGCACAGGACATAAAACGTACAGGATTACAAAGGAAATTATCTGAAAAATACTTATCAAATATTTAAAAAATAAATTGGTGATGCAGTTAATACATATGCTTCTTTATAAGCATTAAAAACCAAAATCACGCCAAAGGTCGAATAAGTAACAAAGTTCTGAAGCACGGACGAGCACAATGGTATGTGGAGACAGCTGTGATTGATCACTGTCATGAGGTGACAATGTCAGTCGTTGCACTGACGCTAACTCAAGTCACAGGTATTGCTGATGCTACTGGTCATCCGGTGTGTTCACAGAGAAAAGCTAAAGTTTGGTTAGAAGTCAACTAAAATAACTGCCTTGCCTAAACTTCTGGGCAGTGGACTGTGTGTGCTCCACCACATCCTGCAACAAGCCATACCAAACCCCCGGATTCCACAGACCTCACATTTCAACTCAGCAAATAGTGAAACATTCTACAGTAAAAGGACTACAGACTTTCAACGAGTGGCTTTGTGGAGCAGACAAGGAAATACAGGCCAGAAAGCTGCAATACTGAATTACAGAAGAGCAAAGACCCAGGCCTTCCATTCTCGAAAAGAAAAACCAGAATATGCTTCCAATGCCTGCTGAAGCCATCCCAATACGGACAACTTTCCGGGCACTAAACTCCTACTTCCAATCACCTATTTCCACCTCAGAGTCCCTAAGCTTCAAATTCATATATCGGACTGAACTCTATCCTTCCCCTCCCTCCTAAGTCGGCTATTGCTCTCTTTCTCTTCCTCCATTCCCTTATCCCAAAGAAATGACTCTACCATCTCCCATCAACCCAGGTCGAACTGTCACCCTTCCCTCATCTCATAAATCCAATCGGTTACATTGTCTCCTGAACAGCTTTGAAATTTGTCGTCTGTATACTGGCCCTGCCGCTGACATGATCCAGCCCCGAATCAGCTGACAGATTAATTTATCCGTCTCCAATCCTGTGGGTGGCTCTTCCCCTGGGAGGCACCCTGGCAGCCTGGGCTGAAGACGCTCAGGCTCCCCTCCAGACTCGCACCTCGCAAACCTGCTAGAGCGGGCACGGTCCTCGGGGTCCCGACCCACATACCTTGGCAGGGTTGGTTAAGACCTCCTTCATGTACTCAGCCACAGTGATGGGGCCAGTAGACTTGATTTTGTACACAAGATGCCGCATCATCGGAGTCACAGGGTTGTTTTCTACCGGGTCTCTCCCGGAGCTGAAATATTTTCCTCTCCAAAGGCAGGGAATGACTGCGAAAAACACCCAGTAAATAGGACCTATTAAAAACCTTAGTATTTACATGTGCACAGCTGTCTGAGAGCTTTCAAATTGGCTTCGTCAACGCTTAAACTCGTTCGAAGCCGGGAAAGCAAGTGTCCCAGCCGCAGCACGCACACAGGGCGCAGGCAGGCGAGCACTTTGCCGTCGACCTCACAGCCATTTTCCGTCGGAAGCTGAACTTGTATCCGTGCCGAAGCGCCCCTGACGCCCGGGACTGAGTTGGGCGCCCCTCGCGGTTTCCTCGGCAACCGGGGTCCGGTCGGGGCGAACTCTTACCCGCTCGCGCCGCAGCGTACAGCGACCTTGCGCCGGCCTTCCCTAGGACACACATTTTGAATTAGCCAAGCAGCCGCCAGCCGCTCGCCGCCCGGGGGTGGGGATTACAGCCACTTCCGGGATGGATTACACTCGCCGGAAGTACGGCACTAGGCCCAGCGGAAGGAACCTCCTGACAATTCCCGCGTGCGTTGCTAACCATGGCGCCTGGCAAGAAACCTTTGGAGTTCCACCCCAAGAGGCCCTGGGGTCCTCCCCAGGGGGCAGAGGGGACGGATGAGGACGACGACGATGATAACGATGAAGCCGAGAATGGGTTCTCCATGGAGGAGGTGTTACGACTTGGAGGCACCAAGGTAATGGCCTTGGGCTACAGGTTAAGAGGCACCGAGGCTTGCGGAGTGGTCTCGCACCCCTTCTTTACCATTGCTCTTTACAAGATAAAGGTCGAGTCGAGCATTTTTTATGGTATAGCCTTAGAATGTAGACGATCCTCTCATTTGGTTTGACGTATATCAGGTCAGACAGGACCTGACGTTTTTGGCCTTGACCTCGTGGTATCAGTGTTTTGAACTCGAGTGGTGTTGGTATTTGTATTGTGTACTCACCGAGTACATGCACATGCTCACTGTATACTCAATAAGTTCTTGGGATTTACATCCTGATTTTGGGAAAGGAACAGTCACCAGACTTTTGAATACATAGTATGTCGGACGCTGAGGGGATCCGGGAACCCATTACTGAGATAGATAGATGTTCGAGCAAAAAACCTTCAGGAAAATACGGACTGAGCCAGGGCGTTTCAGGAACAACAAAAATGTCAGTTTAGCTGAGGCGGAGTGAGGTAAGAAGAGAGTAGTAAGAAACGAGGCACGAGAGTGGGCTTGTACTCTGAGTTTGACGAAACCATTAGAGGATTTGGAGCAAATACGTGAAAGAATTTGGGTTATTTTTTAAGTGTTTTGAGACTGGAATTGGAGATGGGGCGTGGAATAGACGCAGGGGGAGTGTATCTTACAGGAACAGATTCCCAGGTTCCTCTGTGCGAGGGTTTGATTTTTAAATATGTATGTACATGCTGCAAAGAGGTTTTGTTTTGCTTCGTTTTCAAGGAAAGGGTACATGAATACACAGTGAGAAACACTTTTTCCCCACTTTTAGCTCAAGCCATGCAATAAGTTTCTTTCATATCTTCCAAGAAAGTGCACGCGCATCTGTTATTTTTTACACAAAGGGCACCATACTACATCTGTGTATAATATTTTTGTATCCGTTTTTTTCTGTCCTTCCATATCAAAGTGGAAAGTTCTGTCATTGGTTTAATGTCTGCATAAATCATTGTGTCTGTCTTAATTTTCTATCAGCCGTTTAGTAGAATATGTAAGTTGTCAGTAATGATGCTTAAGCTATAACCTTGAATATGTTTTCTCACACTTGTAAGTGTAGATTTAATCTAGATATGTAGAAATGGAACTGCTGGGTTCCACATCCACACAAAGGATTTGTGCCTTCTGTGTATTTTGATTGAAGATGGCAAATTGCCTCCTTAGAGGTTTTGCCAGTTTGCACTCCCATCAGCCGTGAAAAGAGTCCCCTCCTCCTTCCCTAACACTGCCTGTCATAGTTTGATCTTTGCTTATTTGACAGATTAAAAAATAGATATTGTGATTTTAATGTGAATTTCTCTAAACGTCTTTTCATATCTTCATATATTTCTGTTGGGTTATTTGTCACTTCCTTAACTGACGTGTAGCAACTTTTATATTAATTATTAAGCCAAATTAGTTTGATATGAGTTGCCAGTATTATTTTCCAGTTTATTATTTGTCTTTTGATTTGTGTATGAGAGGGTGATAAATTTGCCCATTCTTTCCTTTATGGGCCCTAAGTTTTGCATCAAATTTGGAAAGGTTTTCCCCACTCTGGAATTCTTTTAAAAATTATGTTGTGCTTTCTCCCATTATTTTGTGGTTTTATTTTTTTACATTTAAATCTCTGATCCCTCAAGTATTTATTTTTGTGTAGTTTGGGAGACCAGGCAATACCATGACAGTTTTGATTTCAAAGATACAGTTTGTTTCAAGGAACAAACTGACAGGTACCAGAGAGGAGTGGGGAGAGGGATAATAGGGGATAATGGGGGGCCATCAAGGAAAATGTATAAAGGACTTACGGACAAAGCCAAAGGTAATAGGTTCCAGGGTGGGAGGGGGGGGTGGATAAGGCCAGGGGGGCATGGTGGGGTAAAAATGGAGGCAACTGCCCTTGAATGACAATTAAAAAAAGAAAAAATACATAGGTTTCACATGAACTTTTGAAGTTTTAACTAAAGTGTTGGATTTGTAGTTTATTTTGAACTTTATGTTTTTATGCAGCAAGATTACCTTATGCTGGCTGCTTTGGACGAGAATGAAGAAGTTGTGGATGGAGGTAGAAAAGGAGCAATTGATGACCTTCAACAAGGTGAATTGGAAGCATTTATTCAAAATCTGAGTTTGGCCAAGTATGCAAAAGCTTTCGTAATTGAAGAAGATGAACCAACCAACAAAGAAGATGCCAACAAAAAAGCAAATGTATCTAAATTAGGTAACAAAAAGCAAAATGCAGCGGAAAGTGAAAGGACATCAGCGAGTAAGGTGAAAAATAAGAGGAGACCAGAACAACGTTCTGATGAGAACAATGCAGTACCAAAAGTAAAGAAAGACAGACAACAGGACGTCTTTGAGTTTTTTGAGAGACAGGCATTGTTACTGAAGCCTGGGGGCAAATGGTATGATCTTGAGTATAGCAGTGAATATTCGTTGGAACCCCAGCCTCGGGATGTTGTGTCTAAGTACAAAACTTTGGCTCAGAAGTTATATGAACATGAAATTAACTTATACAAAAGTAAGACAAATAATCAAAAGGGAGCCTCTTCTACCTGGATGAAGGCAATTGTGTCATCGGGGACCCTGGGTGACAGGATGGCAGCCATGATTCTTCTTATTCAAGATGATGCTATTCACACACTCCAGTTTGTAGAAACTCTTGTAAACTTGGTGAAAAAGAAGGGCAGCAAACAGCAGTGCCTTGTGGCTTTGGATACTTTCAAAGAGTTACTCATTACAGACCTTTTGCCAGACCATCGAAAACTAAGGATTTTCAGCCAGCATCCTTTCAACAAACTAGAACAATTGTCCAGTGGCAACAGGGACTCGAGAGACAGGAGGTTGATCTTATGGTATTTTGAACACCAGCTGAAACACTTAGTGGCTGAATTTGTGCAGGTCCTAGAAACTTTAAGTCATGATTCATTAGTAGCCACCAAAACCCGAGCCCTTTCAGTGGCTCATGAGCTGCTCTGTAACAAACCTGAGGAAGAAAAGGCACTTCTTGTGCAAGTGGTAAATAAACTGGGAGATCCGCAGAACAGAATAGCCACGAAAGCCTCCCATCTGTTAGAGACGTTGCTTTGTAAACATCCCAATATGAAAGGCGTTGTGTGTGGCGAAGTAGAAAGACTGCTCTTTCGCTCAAATATCAGCGCCAAAGCACAATATTATGCAATTTGCTTTTTAAATCAAATGGTTCTCTCCCATGAAGAAAGTGAACTGGCTAACAAGTTAATAACTCTCTATTTTTGTTTTTTTCGGACTTGTATCAAGAAAAAAGATATTGAATCAAAAATGCTTAGTGCCCTCTTAACAGGAGTGAATAGGGCCTACCCTTACGCCCAGACCGGTGATGACAAAGTGAGGGAGCAGGTTGATACGCTGTTTAAAGTGTTACATATTGTGAATTTTAATACCAGTGTGCAGGCTTTAATGCTGCTTTTCCAAGTAATGAATTCTCAGCAGACAATATCGAATCGATACTACGCAGCATTATACAGGTAAGTAATCCCTTCCAATATGAGACTGTGAGGAATAATGTTATACACACAGGTGCCCCTCTGTGGGGCAAGAGAAGAGACTCACGGAACTGGATTTTAGGCTCCCCTTGGGCTTGCTACTCACTCCCTTTGACCAAGCCACTTAATCTTCATTTACCTGTTGGACAACTACCGTATTTACCATGTATAATATGCTCCCATGTATAATGTGCACCCACATTTTTGACCCAAACTTTCAGGGGGAAAAAACCTTACGTTTTAATTTTTTAATTCAATTTTTTATTTACTTGTATTTAGAAACAAAACCAATGATCATATTTCAGAGAATTATTTTGCATACGCATATCATTGCTTTCTAGAGTTACACTTTTAACACATGAAATTAAAAGAATTAAAAACATGGATACAGAATTACTACTACCCGTGTATAAAAATACACATGTATGAAAAATAATTCCAAAATTGAGGAATTGAGATTTTGTTTACCGAACTTTGCAATTGGCCTACAGTGCATCATTGAGGGATGATCTGTTGAACAGTGTGTCAGGTATACCAACAAGCTTTGCATTTTGTCTAAGTTTTGTAATTTCTCAATCACTTGTCTTCTGAGAAATGTAATGTAGTGGTTAACTCCTGGACTAAGCCACACTGTCTAAATTTGAGGCCCAGCCATTAGCTTGCTGTGTAACTTTGGACAAGTTACTTAATCCTCATTATAGCCCTATTGGTAAACATGATTAATCCTGTTTACTGTGCTACAGTTTATTTGTCTATAAAATGGAGAATGAAACCTATCTCTGAGGGTTATTTTGAAGATTATGAAACTTTCCCAAGGTTACACAGTTAGGAAATACAAGATGAGGGCCTTGATAAGATTAATGAGTTAATATATATGTTATCCCGTGTAATCTTCATATGGATGTTAAGCACTTAACAGTGCCTGACACATGCAAGTTCTCTGTAAGTGTTGGCTGCTGCTGTTAGTAATGTTGTTCACATGGCTTTCTTCAGTTTAATCCTCTTAACGGCCCTCCACTCTGGGTTCAGTAATTTGTGCAAGGTCAACACAGACAATACAAGATGGAATTAGGTGGCAGGTCCCCCTAACTCGTGTTGGAGGTCATGATGTTTCATGGTACTGTTGGCACTGGGGCACTAAAAAGAATTTCAAGGCTTATGCATAACTTAAGAGTCTAAAATTTTTTCAAGTAATAAAAACTTTACTT